GGATCTTGGGTGGGCTGATTGCCAGGTGGCAACCACGTTTGGTACTGGTTAATCGTTATTTTTATTACTAGAGGTCATGAATATTCATTGGTGGGAGGTCTGTTACACTACTTATGTTCTTCATTTGAATTCGTATCTATGCGTTTTCTCCTGCACTTGCGCACTTTCCTCACAGGTAAAGAGTGAGGAATTTGATTACCTAATTGCACACGGCCAATGTGAGCCAGGTTGTTTAATTAGACTGCCTAATTAGTTTATCGCCCTAGTGGGAATTAGGGCATTGACCTAGAGGGAATTAGGGCGTTGACCAAAATGCCCTTTCGCTTTTCTCTTAGGGCTGCCCGCTCATGACTAACTGCCTACCGCAAAACCACTAACCACTTTTGGAACATTAAAAAACAAAACAAAACAAAAACATAAAAGAAAAACCAAGAAATCAAAAGGTCCTCTGCCTCCACTTGTCTCACTCTTCTGTATCAGAGATGTCTAGAGCAAGAGTTCAGGTCCCATCTGTATACTTTTTTTTTTTTTTGGAGAGATTTTCACTGTAGAGCGCGTGCGCTCGCCAGACAGACAGAGAGAGACATAGAGACAGAAAGTGAGAAATCACCCCCCAGGGGGGATGGTCACGCCACAATCCCTTCTCCTCCATTCTCCTCTCGGGATCTTGGGCACACACGCACACGCGCCCGGCGTGAGTTTTAAGCCACTCGGTCTGGGACACGAACCACGGTCGACTACGTGGGAGTCCAGCGACATAGCCATTACGCTAACTGCTGGTTCCCCCATCTGTATACTTTTGAGGAAGTCACAACCTCAGAGTGAGGGGCTGCATTGCACCCAGGGTATTAGTTTCTAGGGCTGCTGTAACAGAGTGCCACAAACCGTGTGGCTTAAACAACAGGGATTCTTGTCTAAGAGTTCTGGAGGCAACATGTGAAATCAAAGTTGTTTTTTTCTGAGGGCTGTGAGGAGGCTCTGTCCCACGCCTTTCTCCTTGACTCATAGAGGGTCCTCTTCTCTCTGTGCCTGTTCATGTCATCTTTTCTCTATGCATGTCTGTGTCCTAATTTCTTACAGGGATACCCATCCTATTGGGTTAAGACTCACCCTAATGACCTCATTTCTTTTGATTACCTCTGTGAAGAACCTATATCCAGATAAAGCCACTTTTTGAGGTCCAGAGAGTTAGGACCTTAACATGCAAATCTGGAGGGGACACAATTCAACCCATATTCCTCAGTGACAATAGAAGAGCTTTCTCTGTTGTAGAGAATTTTCTGTTACTGAGCCCTAGAGAAAATGGGAGCCAGCACATTGGAGTCCCACTTTCTTGAACAGTTAGTTTACATAATTTTAGCCATATCTTGTTCTCTCTGTTGGAAGAAAATGAGAAAAAAAGTAAGTAGAGAATAGACAATATAAAGTTCCAGAGATACTTTGACCTTATAAATCTGCCTTCAGGATGGCTCCATGGCCTAGTGATGAAGGCACCCAAATCCCACAGAGTCATCTGCGTAGTTTGAGTCCCAGACACAGCAGCTTGAGAAACACGCCAGGTGCTTATGCGTGCATACCAAAAATTCCAAAAGGAGAGTGAGATGGAGAGAAGGGATTGTGCCATGTCCATTCCCCATAGCGGGTGCTTTCTCCTCTCCCTCTCTATTTGTCTCTCTCTGGCAAATGGACATTCCTTCTAGCCAACAAGTAAAAGTAAAAAAATAATATCTGCCTTGTATTGGGGGTCTGGAGATAAGCTCATGTGTTTCCTCCTGAGGGATTATGTGCAATGCTAAATGACACAATCCCACTCCTTGGCCAATGATGAAAGATAAGAAGCGGACGTGCCCTGCTCCCCCTCCACGCTGGAGGATACGGTGCATGATGTTGTATGACAGTTTGATAACCAGGGCTCAAAGTGTCTCATGTGGGGTTTACAGAACACCGTAACTGACAAATGGCTTCACCGTCATCCTTTGGTCCTGCCCCAGGTCACCTTGAAAGGCACCCCTGTGCATGGCTACACTGTGAGAGGTGCATGGTGGGCTGGTGGGCCCCACCTGTCTCCCTGGTGGGGAAGGGAATACTCTCCCTTTAAAGAGGGTATTGGACAAGAGACTGAGTTGAACAGAAGAAGGTGGAAAACAAAATAAGAAAAAGGAAAGGAAAGAATAAGGAAAAGTACATGAAATCAAGAACTGAGCCGGGAAAGACAAAACAAGGAGAAGGAGGAGAAGGTTATGTGTCCTTTTCCCAATCTAACTTTCCGTCATGCTAAAGATCTGATGCGAGATTTGTAAATCAAATGTTATTCCTCCAAGAAATGCCCGAGTTCCCGAGTTCTCTCCTTTTTTTTTTTTGGAGAGGTTTTTGCTATAGGGTGCATGTGCTCACCAGAGAGAGAGAGAGACAGAGAGACAGAAAGCGAGAAGTCACCTCCCCCCTGAGGGGGCATGGCCACGCCGCAATCCCTTCTCCTCCATTCTCCTCTTGGGATCTTGGGCACACACACATGTGCCCAGCATGAGTTTTAAGCCACCGGGTCTGGGACTCGAACCACAGTCGACTACATGGGAGTCTAGCGACACAGCCTTTACATTAACTGCTGGTTCCTCTTCATTTTTTTCTATGATAGTCCCTGCATTTGAGGAATAAGTGGATCTTGAAAGTTTGCTAGAATGGAATAATTTTTTTTAATTCAACTTTTCATTATTTTCTATGTAGCTGCTAAGTATTTTTATTTTTATGATTAGTCAAGTTACAAATAAATATATTTTAATTGTTTAACATTTAAGCATTTTTAAGCAGATAGAATAAAAAAGTGATACTGTAGTAGGCAGTTAGTTAGTCATGAGCGGGCAGCCCTAAGAGAAAAGCAAAAGGGCATTTTAGTCAACGCCCTAATTCCCACTAGGACAATAAACTAATTAGGCAGTCTAATTAAACAACCTGGCTCACATTGGGCGTGTGCAATTACGTAATCAAATTTCTGATTCTTTACCTGTGAGGAAAGTGCGCAAGTGCAGGAGAAAACGTTTGGATTTGAATTCAAATGAAGGACATAGGTAGTGTGACAGACCTCCCACCAATGAGTATTCATGACCTCTACCAATACAAATAACCATTAACCAGTACCAAACGCTATTGCCACCTGGCAATCAGCCCACCCAAGAGCCTTTTGGGTGTACTTTCCTTTCTCTCCTATTAAATCTTCTTTTCTACCTACTTCATTCATGGGGACTGATCTCTAATTTTAGTGATCTGGACCCAAAGAACCAAGGACTTCACAACACAGCTCAACACTTTCTTATCCGTTGTCATTTTATGCTTTTAAAGTTCATCTGTTTCAGTTTTTTAAAAAGTTCATTTCTTTCATGGTAGAGCGAGTCAGACTGTCACCCCTCCATCAGGGTCCTCACACCACAATCCACTCCCAGCCCCAGTCAGCCCAAATCACAGGCTCACATAAATGCACCTGGATGTACAGAGAGGTCCTGAGACACACACCCAGGATCTTCCCGTAGGTGTCTGCCCTTGCAAAGCATTGTGTGACTGCTGCTGTGTAATCTGGTCCCAAAATGATACTTGTTTGATTGCTCCTGACAAGATCTTAGTTACTGTTAGATATTTGGCAGTCCCATTTCCACTATTTCTATTCACCTAGACATAAGCTCATAATAAACATACATTGTAAAACATAAATGGGGCACCAGCAGATGCTGGTGCTGGACTGCCATGTAGTCGGACATGGTTTGATTCTGGGACCCGGCAGCTTAATACTCAAGCTGGGCGTGTGTGCCTGAGTGCCCAAAATCCCACAAGGATAATGGAGGAAAAGGTATTGTGGCATGGCCATCCCCCCGGGAGGTGATTTCTCATTTTCTATCTCTCTATCTCTTTGGTGAGCACACACACCCTATAGCAAAAGCTCTCTAAAAACTAAATAAGTAAATAAATAGGATCACATTATATGTTAAGGGCTGTGATTTAATTGAATAAGTCAGAAAAATATTTGCAAGTCAGAAAATTAAACTCTAGCTAGTTTTTTTCCCCACAACTGTACAGTGTATCATAATACAGATTTGTAGTGATGCACCGCATATTTATATTGAAGGATATTTTAATTTCCCACTTTTTTTTACTACTACACACAATATACAATTTAATACATGTACTTTTATGTTTTTTTTAAAATCCCAGTCAAGTGGAATTTCTGCATCCAACTGTATGTAAATAACTCCCATAGATATTTTTCAAGAATTTTTAAATTTAACTTTATTTATTTACTTTTAATTATGATCATAGAAGGAGAGAGAGATAAGAAAAGGGAGAAAGCAAGCCACCAGGTCCACGTCTTGCAACTGTGATCAGTCATGTGGGAGTCCAGTGTCCTTAACTCCACATCACCTGCTGGCCCACTCCTGTAAATCTTTATTAGTTTATATTTTAGCCATCAGAATATAATGGTGTCCACTTAATGATGTCATAAAAAATGACCATTAATATTATAGTTCTTAACTCTCTTTGCAACCTGATGAGTGAGAAATAAAGGAAAGAGACTTTTCACAGGGTAGAGGTAAATGAATTTTGTCCTGAAGGACTGACGTGGCAAGGAATGCAGCAGGTAAAGGAATCTGGGGGAAGCAGCTGCAACTGTACAGTAAAAGCTGATGTTTCTTCTTTTCTAATATAAGCAGTAAATACTATAAATTTCTCTACATACATTGATTTGGTTGCATTCTACAAATTTTGTATTTATTTATTTATTATTGAGAATGAAAAAGGGAAAGTGAAGATGCAGGGGAGGAGAAAGAAGCATCTTCTTGCAGTGCTGGACTTGGCCCTGAGATGGCAGTGTTGCATTTCCATCTCTGACACTTTGCAGGGGGCGAGGGTGTGATGAATGTTATCTCTGATTGGTTGGGCCACCTCTGTGTAATTCCTGTGCAAATATTTGAACATATAAGATAGCAAAACAGATTCTTAATCTCGTGAGTCATTGTCAACATTTGAGAAGTGGGAATTCAGTGATTCTAAGTGACAGAAACAATGGAAAAGCTCCTGGGTTTGCTCATCCTCTGGCTGTACCTGCACTGTGAGTCAGAGGGGCTGGAATGGGCAAAGAACACGCAGACCATGGGACCATTCTCCCTAGTGAAGAGAGAGATGGGCAATTGCGTCTGATGGTTTTCTGGGTGAAGATGGGAAACATGAATCTAAAAGTAATTTTCAAAGAATCATTAACCCCAATCAGTCCCCTCCCTGTGGTTCTCTTTCTGAACAGGTGTGAGCAGTGAGCAGGAGGTGAGGCAGAGTCCTGAAGCTCTGAGCGTCCGTGAAGGAGACAACTTGGTTCTCAACTGCAGTTACACCGACAGCACAATGTACTCCCTTCAGTGGTTCAGGCAAGATCCCGGGAAAGGTCTCACATTTCTGATCATACTTCGGTCAAATAAGAGAGATGAAAGCAGTGGAAGACTTAAAGCCTCATTGGATACATCTTCAAGACATAGCTCTTTATACATTGCAGCATCTCACCGTGGTCACTGCACCCCCTACCTCTGTGCTGTTGGGCACAGTGTACAGCCGGCACCTGCACCTGCTACCTAAACCCTGGCTGAGGTCCCACCACACGTCCTGTCTGGAGGGTGGGGAACACGTTTGCATTAAGGAGCTTTCTAAATTGACTCTCTTTCCAAATTGAAAAGTGAACACATAAAACTTGATATGTTGCTCTAAGGTTAAGAAATGAATTATTTACATCTTATAGTTTGTAGTTTGAACTTTCAGTTCAAATAATAGTTTTATTGAGATGATTTATTATCATACCATGCAGTTCACTTTTTAATTGAAAATTTTTTCAAAGTTCATTCATTTTTCTCCATAAATACAGGAGGGGAGAGAGAACTCCGACAGGATTTGGATGCCATGATCCAAGCCCAACTCCCGCTACCCCTAGATGACGGACCTATGCATGCCTGGTGTAGTCAGGGGGTCTCCAAATGCAAGCCTGGAACCTTCTAAGATTTGCAGCACATTATGTTTTACCCCTGCACCACTGCCCAGCCATTCACCTTTCTAAAGCAAATGATTAATAGCATTTATTACATTCCCAGAGTTGTGCAACCACCACTTTTCTCTAGGCTCAAAATCTTTCCACACCCTAAAAGGAAATTGCTTACTGGAAAGAAGTTTCTCACTGCAACCTTTCTAAGGGAGAAGTCAATAAATGTATTGAGGAAAGTGACAAAAGTGGATATAAAGGAAAAGAGTCAAAATAGTTTGAGGAACTAAAATGGACAGGGAAGGATAAGTTATATGAACCAAATGAACAAAGAAGGAAATGACAAGCAGGGTGGTGGACTGAAGAGCCATCTATGGGAGGGGCGGTGAGGGAGAGAGAAGATTTGAAGGGTGGGGATCAAATGTTCAACATTGCGTATGTATTCAAGATTTGACATTTGTTTTCAGATTTAAATATGCGTTGAGATTATATCTGAGACATTTAAATGGATATGTGAAATAAGCAGTTGATTATATGGGTTTATATTACAGAACATTGGTCTTATATGGAGATAAAGATTTGGAAATCACCTTCTTATTGATACATTAAAAAGTAGAGAGAGAAGGAAATCCCTATGGGAAGCACATAAAGTTAGAACAGAAGATGATCTAGAGTCAACCTGGGAACCACCATGATATTTTGAGATCAAATAGAGAACCCTGTAACATGAACTGAGAAGGTACAGCAAGGGTGGTCAGAGAAACCCCACAGGCATGTGTTTCTATGGCAAGCAAGAGATGACAGTGTGATGAGAAGGATAGAGAGGGAGACTGTAGGGAGGCTTCTTAGCGTTTAAGATCAGATGAGGACTGAAATCCATTCATTGGGTTTTGCATCATAAATACCCTCAGTGATATTGGTGAGCAGGACTGTGAGGGCAAAGTGATGGTGCAAGAGTAGGTTTTGCAGACCGTGGAGGTTCTGTTAACTTGAATGACCATATGTGGAACCCACCTCACCTCTCAGTTCCTTGACATCTCACTTTCGAAGTTAATTTTATTTGACTTTAACGATCAACTTAATGACTTATGTCTTAGTCATTGTCGTTAGCATGAGCATACCAATGGTTGGGCAAAGGAAATAGTCTACTCCAGTTGCAGATAACAAGATACTGTAAAGAGATTTTAAAAACAATAGTGAAAAAATATTAAAAGTCCATCTGCTTTTTATTATCACCACATGGAAGCAATTCTAAACAATGTCAGCAATATACCACTACTCCCTGGAAAAGCATTATGTGGTTGAAGATCTATACAACTGCCAAGGTTACTGTTGAGTTTTAATAATACATGAAAGCTTCAAATGATCACTTTTGTATTCTTTATCACTTAATAAACATAATATTCTATACTAAGGTTATTTTTGAAGAATTTCCAATTATATAATTGTCAATGTACATGGACTCTAAAGTAGAGATATTCTGTGTATCCTTTATATAATTTCCTCTGATGATGTCTCTTGCAAAGCGATGGTACAGTCACAACCAGAATACAGACACTGGTACAAGCAAACTGCGCAGTACTTCCGTCTCTTTAAGGATCCCTAATGCTTCTCTTTTATTACACCAGCTTCCCTCGCATTCCTATCTGGTCCTTAGTAGCTGACCTTTTCTTTCTTTCTTTCTTTTTTTTTTTATAATCTACTTATTTAATTCCATTTATTATTATTATTATTATTTTAATTTGACCAGAAACACACACACACACACACACACACACACACACACAGAGAGAGAGAGAGAGAGAGAGAGAGAAAGGGAAAGTGAGAGAGCAAGCCGCTAGGCCTGGCACTCTAACCACAGTCGGCCATGTGGGAGTCCAGCATCCTTAATCACCACACCACCTGCCAGCCCCAATAGCTGACCATTTCTAACTTGTTCTCCATTTCTATAATTTTGTAACTTCAAGAAAATGATATAAATGTTGGGATTTTTTTTCTCTCAGCATAATTCTCTATAGATTCATACAGGTTATTGTGTATATCAATAATTTTTTATCAATAATTAATTTTTTTATTGCTAAGTACTGTTTCATGGCATGGATTTACCATAGTTTGTTTAACCTTCACTTGATGAAGAATATCTGGGTTGTTTACAGTTTTGAGCTATCAACATTAAAGCTGCTGTAAGCATTCAAGTATACATTTTGCTTGAATATATCTTTATTCTCTTTGGTAAATGCCCAGAAGTACCATTGCTGGGACATACGGTGAGTGTTAAGTTTAGTTTATAAAAAGCCTGCCTATTTGTTTCTCAGGTTGTGAATGATTTTACATACTCACCAGCAAGGTTTGAGTGATTCAATCTCTCCACATCCTTGCTAACATTTGGCATTGCCAGGGCTTTGAATCTTAGCAATTCTGATAGGTAATGTCAATATCTCATTGTGGATTTAATTGCATCTTATAGCTAATAATGCTAAACATTTTTTTATTAACTAAAGCTTGCTGTTTATTTATATTTCCTTGATTTTTATCTAATGTCCCTTTCATGTCTGTGGGAGCTGTAGTAACATTCTTGAGCAAAGAACAGAAAAACAAGCTTTTTGTTACTTTGATTTTCTCCATAATCTCTATTTTCAATTGCATTGATTTCTGCCTTTGTCATTGTTATTTCCTTCCTTAAGTTTTTAAATTTTCTCTTCTTTTTCTAAGGAGTAAAGGAAAAGTCTCAAATCAAAAAGTGGGAGCTGAGATGATTGACTTGAGACTTTCCTCTTTTATTTTTTTTTAGTACTATAAATTTTCCCTGATTGTATCCTTCAATTTTTGTTATGCAGTATTCATTTTATTTGGTTCAGTGTATGACTGATTTCCACAGAAGCATCTCTGTGATCCATGGATTATTAGTCAATATGTTGTTTCTTTTCCAAGTATTTGGAGATTTTTTTTCTGTCATCTATTACTTGTTTATAGTACTGTTTCATTGTTGTATGAGAGCATACTCTTTATGATTTCAATTCTTTTATATTAAATTTGTTGAGATTTGTTTTATGGCTCAAGATATGATTTTCCTAGGTAATTGCTCCATAGGCTGTTGAAAAAAAAGATATGTCTGCTCTTGGGTGAATGCAGTGTTCTATAAATGGCTATTAGGTTCTGTTGGTCAATAGTGTGGTCAAGTTTTTCTATACCTTGTTGATCTTTTAGCTCGTTCTTTATTGATTGTTGAGAGATGGGTGTTGAAATCTCTGACTGCAATTCTAGATTTGTCTCCTCCTTTCAGTTCTATCAGTTTTTTGGAGAGGTTTTTTTTTGGAGAGGTTTTTTTGTTTGTTTGTTTGTTTGTTTTTTCTATAGGGCGTGAATGCTCACCAGACAGACAGAGAGAGACATAGAGACAGAAAGCGAGAAATCACCCCCCAGGGGGGATGGTCACACCACAATCTCTTCTCCTTCATTCTCCTCTTGGGATCTTGGGCATGCACGCACACGTGCCCGGCGTGAGTTTTAAGCCACCGGGTCCGGGACGTGAACCGCGGTCGACTACGTGGGAGTCCAGCAACATAGCCAGTATGCTAACTGCTGGTCCCCCCCCAGTTCTATCAGTTTTTCTCGTACTTATTTTTCAGCTCTGTCGGTTAGTTCATATATACACACTTAGACTTGCTATGTCTTTTTTGGTGGGTTGATCCATTTTACAATATCTAATGTTCCTTTTTGTCTCTGGTAAATTTATTCAGGAGTTTGCTTTGTCTGATATTATTATAGCCAGTCCTACCTTTCTTTGGTTAATATTTGCATGATATACCTTTTACTACCAACATGCCTATATCATTATATTTGAAATGAGTTTATTATAGACAAGCTAGAGTTCTTCATCTGTTTTTTAATGGTCAGAGGTACAAGTGCTCCCCAAAGAGGGACAGAAAGACAGATAGAGAAAGAGAGGTGGAGAGAGAAAGTACCGCCCCTAGTGGGGTGCAGTCATGTCATAAGCCCTTCTTCCCCATTTCTCCATGCTGTTGGGACTCTGGGCACACATGCACCTGTGCTCGGCTGCCTCTCAAGCCACAGGGGTAGGGATCAGAACCACAGTGGACTATGGGGATTTGGTTCCACCAACACTAGGCCAGGGAGGGGCTCCAAAATGTAATGAGAAATAAAACTAGAAGGAAAAGAGAAAGATGGCAATTAGAAAGAAGAGTTAACTAAAAAGAAATGTAAGGACATTTTTTGTAGATGGAATTAGAAAAATAAAAGACAGGGAGGATAATATGCAGAAATGATGTCTGAATCAGTTCTTTATTTTTCCTCCCAATTTACTCTTATTAGGGTCATTTCTTATAACAATATTTACCACAAATCTTGATTATTCTAGAAGAGTCTAAACCTGCATACCCTCTACATTCTAATAACAGAATTCAGTAAGTGTATCATACACAACATGTGTGTTCCTCTTACTTTGCACGACTGGAATGATTTTCACCTAAATTAATGTGTAGGTCAGTAGAGATCCTTCTGTCAAAATACATGTGGGCTTTAAGATATGAAAGAAAGATATTGTATGTATCCACTTAATATATACTGACTATCTGCACTCTGTGGTAGAGATCAAAATATTGGAGGACTTAAAAGCAGTGAAAATAATTAACGAGGATAAGACAGTGTGGAATGGGGTGGGAGAAGAGAAGAGTATAGAGAAAGATAGCAAGAGAACAAATAGAGAGGCATGACATTAGTGGGACACAGATATGGTTTATTACCTGTTGATGACGTGTATGGTAGTTTTAGCTGGATTGGTCTGAGAAGTATTTCATGTTGGATCAATCTTTTTACAAGCAAAATGAGAAATAGTGATTGTTTAAAAAAATAATTAGAAATGTAATACACTGTAAAGTTATGTGTGATGCAATGTAATATAAACAAGATTATGAGGAATATATATATATATATATATATATATGTATAGGCTTTTAGGGTTTAAAGTGTTCTATCATCCTTTCCAGGCTCTGTTAAGACAGCTGAGTATATTTTCTGTGAGAGGAGGGCCCTCCCTTTTCTTCTCACAGGACTTCTCACACTCCTCACTGCCTCCAGGGTTATCAGAAAACGTTCCTCACTCAGTAGAATAATGACTCTCCCCCTTCTCTCTCCACCTGTCCCCACCCAACGCTCAGCCAGGGTTAGGCCTGCAGGTGGGGCTCCCTGTCAGGGAGTGCAGTGGGAGAACTCCTCAGTGCCTGGGCCTCACGGGGTCTGTAGGGAGAAGTTGATTGGTTGCAGGGACAGGAGCAGTTCCAGGACTGACCTGAAGTTCACCACCCCAGAGGAGAGTTAAACATTTTATGGTTAAAAGTCTCCCAAGCACCAAGGCAGAGCATCATGAGGAGTCTCCTGGACATTTTGCTGGGGCTTTTGTGCTCCCAGGTTTGCTGTGAGTTGGGACTGTTTCAATCCGGGAAACTGAAAGTAGTATTGTTGAGGGGAGGGAGGGAAAAGAGCTCACAAATCTGAGACTTTCTATCCTTCTGATAATCTGCCAGGGCATTTTTAGAGATTCTTAGGGGTTAGTACCATCAGCTTGGATTCTTTCTGTCTCTCTGATCAGGTGTGAGCGGAATACAGGTGGAGCAGAGTCCTTCGGCCCTGAGTCTCCAGGAGGGAGCCAGTTCCACGCTGTGGTGCAATTTTTCTACCTCCGTGACCAATGTACAATGGTTTCGCCAAAATCCCGGAGGACGCCTCATCACCCTGTTTTACGTTCCTTCGGGGACAAAGCGGAATGGAAGATTAAATGCCACGACAGTCGCTAACGAGCGCCACAGCTCACTGCACGTTTCTTCTTCCCAGACCACAGACTCAGCCGTGTATTACTGCGCGGTGGGGCCACAGCGCTCCCGGGACACCTGCAGCCTGTGCAGGAACCTCCCGGGCTCAGCCCTTCCCTCAACCACAGCGCCACACGGGCTCTCAGCAGCACGTGCACAGCTTAGCATTTTTTCCTGCTTTGGTGGAGATTTAAGCTTTCAGCTTTTCCCCACTCGGTTAATGTTAGCTATAGATTTTTCATAGATGGCTTTTATTATGCTAAGAAACGATCCTTCCATGCCGATCTTACTGAAGAGTCTTAATTGTGAAGGAATGTTGTATTTTGTAAAATGCTTTTTCCGCATCAATTGAAATGATCATATATATATATTTATCTTTCCTTCTGTTAATATGGTGTATTACATTCATAGTTTTGCATATGTTGAACCATGCTTGCATTCCTGGAATAAAGCCTACCTGGTCGTGATGAATAATCTTTTTTATATGCTATTGGATATGATTTGCAAGAATCTTGTTGAGATTTTTGCACCTATATTCACCAGAGATATAGGTCTGTAGTTTTGCTTTTTTGTCATATCTTTTTCCATTTTGGGAATGAGGATGATGGGGAGGGGATGAGAATGATTTGGGGAGGGGTCCTTGCTTTTGGATCTCTAGGAATAGTTTGAGTAGAATGGGGGTAACCTCTTCTTTAAAGATTTTGTAAAATTCAGAAGTGAAGCCATCAGGACCTGGGCCTTTCTTTGTTGGGAAGTTATTTATTACTGATTCAATCTCATTGCTTGTTACAAGTCTATTCAGGCTTTCTATGTCCTCTTGTGTCAATCTTGGTAGATTATATGTGTCCAGGAATTTGTCCATCTCATGCAGGTTTTCTTCTTTGTTGGCATATAGTCGTTCATAGTATCCTCTAGTGATAGTTTGTATTTCTATTATGTCTGTTTGAATGTTGCCTATTTCTGCAAATTTGATTTATCTGGTTTCTTTCTCCCTTCTTAATTAGTCTAGCTAATAGTGTGTCAATCTTGTTTATCTTTTCAAAGAAACAGCTTTTGCTTTCACTTATTTTCTGTACAGGTCGTTTATTTTCTATTTCCTTTTTTTCTGTTTGAATCGTTATTCTTTCTTTTTCTCCTGGAATTTTTTGGATTTTTTTTTGTTGCTGTTTTTCCAATTCCCTGAGGCATGATGTTAGCTTGTCCTTTTGCCACCTTTCCATCTTTTTCTTGTGCACACTAATTGCTATGAACTTCCCTCTTACGAGTAAGCCATGGATTATGGAAACTTGTGTACTCATTATGATTTGTTTCCATAAAAGTTTTGATTTCAGTCTTAATCTCTTCCATAGTCATGAAGTCATTCCTAAGTAGGTTATTTGGTTTCCATATATTTGTGTATTTTGGAGAGTTTTTCCAGAAATTAATATCAAGTTTAATTCCATCATGGTAAAGAAGATGCTGGATATAGTTTCTATGCCTTTGAGTCTGTAAAGGCTGGTTTCATGCCCTATCATGTGGTCAATCTTCAAGAAATTATCATGTGGGGCTGAAAAAAATGCATATTTTGTGGTTTTTTGGGTGGAAAGTTCTTTAGAGGTCTGTCAAGTCCATCTAATTTTTGGTATCATTTAGGCCCTGTATTCTTTTGTCTCATTGATCTGTCTAAAGGAGATAATGGGGTGTAGAGATCTTCAACAATTAGTGTGTTGCAGTCTTCTCGCCTTTTAGATCTAGCAGTCTTTCCTTCACATATTTGGTCTCTCCTGAACTGGGTGGATAGATGTTTAGAAGCATTATATCTTCTAGATGGATTAGCCATTCTATAATTATATAACACCCTTCTTTGTCTCTTGGTACAGTTTTTTTTTCAAAGCTTATTTTGTCTGAAATCAGTATAGTGACTCCCACTCTTTTTTGTTTTCATTTGCATGGAATACCTTTTTCCAGCTCTTCACTTTTAATCTGTGTATGGCTTTATCCACAAGATGGGTTAGCCCCAGCTAATGTGATCAGAAAAAAGAATGAAATAAAAGGCATTCCAACAGGGAAAAATGAGTTGAAATTATCTCTGTTTGCAGACTCTGCAGATGACATGATTGTATATGTAGAAGCCCCAACAGTATCCATGAAAAAACTTCTTGAAGTAATAAATGCATACAGTAAAGTGTCAGGATACAAAATTACCTTACAAAAATCTATAGCATTTCTATATACAAACAGCAAGCAGACAGAAGCAGAACTGAAGAAAGTAATCTCATTTACCATAGCCACAAAAGGTATAAGATACCTAGGAATAAATCTCACCAAGGAAGTCAAAGACCTCTATAAGGAAAATTATGAAAATCTTAAAAAAAGGAATAGAAAGTGACAAAAAAGTGGAAGGACAACATATGTTCCTGGATTGGGAAAATTATTATAATCAAAATGAAAATTCTACCAAAATTAATCTATATATTTAGTGCAATCCATATAAAATTACAAGAGACATTCTTCACAGATCTAGAAAAGACAATCATAGAATTTGTCTGGAATTATAAAAGACCCTATATTGTCAAAACAATCCAACACAAGAAGAGTGAAGGGGATGGCAGCTCCCTTCCTGATCCCAAAATATATTACAAAGCTGTGATAATCAAAACAGCATCGTATTGGCACAGAAACAGACATGAAGACTCATGGAACTGAGTAGAGACCCCAGAAATAAACTCCAAAACATACAACCAACTTATCTTTGACAAAGGGTATCAGTCAATCTAGTGGGAAAAGGCAAATATCTGTAGCAAATGGTGTTGCAAAAACTGGATATCCACCTGCAGAAAGATGAATCTGAGCTCCTATCTGTTACCATTAACAAAATTCAACTCGAAGTGGATCAGAAATCTAAACCTAAGACCTCAAACTATAAAACTACTTGCAGAAAACACTGGGGAAATTCTGAGAGACATTGGGGTAGGCAAAGACTTCTTAAGTAAGACCACCAAAGCACAGGCAATAACCCCCCAAACAGACAAGAGGGATTACATAAGATTAAGAATGTTTCTGTACAGCAAAGGACATAGTAATTAATGTAAATCTCCAAGCGTAGGAATGGGAGAAAATGCCGCAGGGACTGATAACCATAATACACAGAGAACTTAAGTGGCTTACATGGAAGAAAATGATTAACCCAATGAAAAGTTAAGAAAATGAGCTGAATAGGCAACTCTCTACGGAAGACATGCAGACAGCCAAAAAACATATGAAAAAATGCTCAACGTCCCTTATCATAAGGGAGATGAAGATTAAAACCACAATGAAATAAGAATGGAGAAGGGATTGCAGTGTAGCCATGCACCCAGGAGAGTAATCTCTCACTCTCTCACTCTCTCTGGCACATGCACCCTATAGCAAATTTTAAAAATAAAAGAATATTCATGATTCATGTGAAGAGGTAATAATAGCAACATTAACAGTTTCAAAAAAATAGTTGATTTTGGGGCTGGCAAGTGGCATGGTGGTTAAAGATGCTGGACTCCCACATGGCCGACCACAGTTCAAGTCTCGGACCTGGTGGCTTGCTTTCTCACTTCATCTCTCTGTCTCTGTCTCTCTCTGATCAAACTGAAAAATAATAATGATAATAATAATAAATAAAGTTAAATAAAATAATTCTTTTAAAAAATAGTTGATTCCAACTATCATGAAAGATTTTGAGGGGTATAAAAATTCAGTGAGAAATTAACTGTAGATATGATAGAAATAGCATGAGAACTAGAATTAGAATTGGAGCCTGGGTGCCAGCAGATGACATAGTGGTTACATTGCTGACTCCTACATAATCAACCATAGTTTGATTCCTAGACTTGGCAGCTTGAAACTCACACTGGTCACATGTGTGTGTGAGCCCAAGACACCAGGAAGAACTTATGAGAAAAGATTGCAGCATTGTCAGTCTCCCTGAGGGGGTGATTTCTCACTTTCCCTCTCACTGTCTCTGTCTCTCTCTTTCTCTTTCTGGCCAGTGCATGCATACTATGGCAAACAAAAAATAAAAAACAAACAAACAAACAAACAACCTGAATTGTTGCAACCTCATAATTAAACTTTAATGGATGAGAAGTTGCTTCTTATGGATGAATGAAAAAAAGTGTTTTCCTAATTTCCTGAGATGGAATCTACCTCTGCTGAAAATGCTGTGAACATTGTCGAAATGACAACAAAAGATTTAGAATCTTACATAAACTTAGTTGATAAAGCAGTAGCAGAATTTGAGAGAATTAATGATAATTTTGAAAAAAGTTCTACTGTGGGTAAAATGCTGTGAAATGGCATCTCATACTACAGAGAAATCTTTGTGAAAAGTTAGTTTCAAGAAAGTTTATTGTTGTCTTATTTAAGAAATTGACACTGCCGTCCCCACCTTTCAGCAACCACCAGCCTAATCAGTCAGTACCCATGACCATCGAGGAAAGACCCTGCACTGGCAAAAAGATTGCAATTTGGTGAAGATCAAATCATCATTAGCAATTTTTAGCAATAAAATATTTTAATATATGGACATTATTTATTTAGACATAATGTTATTACACACTTAAAAGACTACAATACCATATAAATGTAACTTTTATATGCACTGGAAAACCAGAAAATTTGTGATTTGTTTTATTGCAATATTTGCTGTGATGGTACGGAATTAAATCTGCAGTATCTCTGAGATATGCCCATATATCAACTGTTGGAAAAGCTACAGAAAAAATATACAACTGAAATCTATTTAAGAACTTGTTTTCCTCAGTGTGCAGTGATCTGTTGATATTATGGGGTAAAGGAGAGCCCAGACAATAACTTGGCCAGAGGGCCAATTTTTGCCTCTAAGGAGACCCCAGGGCAGGTGGTGTGCACATTTCATATAGCAGTAGCCTGTTGTTTTTCCTGGGAAATCTACTCATGGCTTAAGGCCCAGTTTAAGCTTCTCCTTCATCAGCACCCCTCTCCGACTGGGTCCAGAAGCAGAGGTCATCACTCTTTTCATGTCGCTTTGTCTAGACACACAGATGTCTTTGGTAAGGTTTATCTGGCTGTTGTTGAGTACTGAAGCTACACTGTTGTGCCCACCCTCTCTCCTGCTGTGCCCCCCATCCCAACCATTTCCTCCAGCTCCACAGGAGACACACCTCAGTAGGCAGCAGCCAAGGTTTCATAGCTGACCTCAACAAGAGCCAAATCTCCCATTTGAAGAAATCATTGACTGGAGAGGAAGACTGAGCCAGCCTCTTATTTCAGTGCTCTGACTATGCAGGGATTGCTGAACACAAATTTTTAAGAAGCTGTAGGAGGGGACATCAGGTGGCATGGTGGTTAGGGCACTGGACTCTCACATGGCCGTCCAAGGTTTGAGTCCCAGAACTGGTGGCTTTCTTTCTCAGTTTCTATCTTTTGTGAGAGCACTTGCCCTGTAGCAAATTGAAAAATAATAATAATGATAAATAAAATTAAATAAATTATTATAAACATAAAAAAAAAGAAGCAGCAGCTGTAGGAAATTGTTCTGTGTCACATCCCTACCCGGCCACCACAAAGGGGCAATGCTGCTTCTCTGGAAGGTAGAAGTTGGTGTCATGTCAAGCAGTCAGAGATTATCCTTTAAACATTTAGTACATTAATACCTTCTGCTCTGCTTCAATTTATATCTATCAGTTATGTATCTATGTAAAGTCCATCCACCTACCTAAATAGTATCTGTGTTTACTCTAGTCTAGGGCTGATTTTGGAAATCAGCACTTCTTTGAATGATGCATACTGTTCTTCAAAGTCAGAGCTACATTCATTGCTCTAATATAAACGTAGGTTGTCGCCCATCCACTGCCCACCCTCCAGCCACACTGAGTAAAACTGCCTAGCATTCTCTAATCCCATTGTTTTTCCTGGGAAATGTACTCATGGTTTAAGGCCCAGTTTAAGCCTCTCCTTCATCAGCACCCCTCTCTGACTGGGTCCAGAAGCAGAGGTCATCACTCTTTTCATGTCACTTTGTCTAGACACACAGATGTCTTTGGTAAGGTTTATCTGGCTGTTATTGAGTACTGGAGCTAGACTGACTGAAGGTTGGGACTGTGTCTCTTTCAAAATTGAAACCTACTCATTACCCATTTAGTAAGTGCTTAGCAGACTCTACAAATACACCCGGAAGACATGCAGAAATGAATACATAAAAATATACATAAAACTTAAAAGAACAATAAAAAAGTCCCCAAGGGTATCTGAGGAGAACGAATCAGATTGTAGACTGAGGGATGTGGACCACTGTCTCCTGTTGGACTGTAATGATATTTTTCTTTGAATTTGAAATGACACCAAAATAAATACAACAAAATTCTCTCTGTGCCTCAGAAAAAAAAGAATGTGATCTTTATGTTTTTTTAACTTCCGTTATTTCTAATACAGATCACTCCTACTTGTAGGGCTGCTTTGGAATTTATCCTCAATTTACCCTTCTATGTTCTGCTGCTGTTAACATTGAAAGTCATATTGATTCTTTATGTTTTCATATTTATTCTATGATGATGGAGTGTGAGGAAAATGCTGAATAAACACTGAAATTCATGATATGAATTACCAAAAATGCTGCATTACTGGGTGGCCACAGGCTCACATCTTCAGTAGACTCCAGAAATTTTCTATCCTCATTTTTTCCATTTGAAGATCAAAGCTCCTTCAAACAGATAATTCCAGTATGTCTTAACTTCTTTATCTGGTATAGTCTTCAAAATAGTTACTGGAATTGGTATTTTAGATGAAATATCTTAAAAATAAAATTAATTTAATTATTTTCTATCATTTATTATAATCATCTGAAAGATTGCAATGAAATTTAAGTTTCCTAAAGACAGGGGAATTGTATAATTCTCTGTGTTCTGATTCATGATCTTAGTTTGTAATGGGACTATAATGCACATTGTGTGTCTATGATAAACTTTATTAGTATTTGCAATAAAAAAGAAAATGAGGGTCGGCCAGTGACATGGTGGGTAGGTCAATTGGATCCCACATGGCCAACTATGTGTCTTGGACCTGTGGCTTGAAAAACATGCTGGGTGAATGTGTGTGTGTGTCTAAAATCCTGAGAGAAGAATGGAAAAGAAATGGCACATGGCCATCTCTCCCGGGGGAGTGCTTTTTTACTCTCTCTCTCTCTCTCTTTCTCTCTCTCTGGTGAGTGCATGCACCTGTAGTAAACTTGAAAAAAAAGGAAAGAAATGCCCTATATATGCAAATCCTGTGACTTCATGAGAGTTCTTCTTTTCTAGCATCATAAAACTATCTCTCATTACATACCCAGCTGTCCTAATGCACAATTTTTAATATTCTAGATATGAGGAAAAGGTAGGGGGGGTGTGGGAAATAAATTCTAAAGTGATCCTCATCTGTGAGTAAGGAGGGGATTTCTGATTCTCATTAAATGTATTTTGATGAGTTCTAGATTTGGATAAAATGGGGTAAGTGCTTTCTTTGACAGAAACATCTCTAAGTAAAAGCACTTAGGAAAGGGCGGGGCCTGCTGAAAGAGCAAACGTGCATGTGTTCATGTGAATTTAGCATCAGAGCTCCAGCAGCTTGGTGAGATTGGAAGACCACCTGAATTCTGGTACCAGGAGGAATGGACTCCACCCTAGGAGCACCATTTTTAATCCTATGGCTTCAACTAGACTGTAAGTTGTGGAGAAGCCCCAGGATATTCATTGTGTGGGGGAATTAGCAAATTACGGTACAAATTCATGCAGGCAGACATTTTATGAAAGAAATATACATTTGGGCGCCTAATGACTTTTTGTATCTTTCTAAGCAGGGGTGAGTGGCCAACAGGGGGAGAAAAGTGACCAGCAGCAGGTGAAACAAGGTCCTCAGTCTTTGGTGCTCCACGAAGGAGAGATCTCCATTCTGAACTGTTCTTATGAGAACAGTGCATTTGACTACTTCCTATGGTACAAGCAGTACCCTGGTAAAGGCCTTGAATTAATAGCAAGCATACGTTCAGTTAAAAATGAAAATGAAGCTGGAAGATTCACAGTCTTCTTCAATAAAAGTGAGAAACGTTTCTCTTTGCACATCGCTGCTTCCCAGCCCGGAGACTCAGCCACCTACTTCTGTGCAGCAAGCACACAGTGCTCTCCACACACCTGCAGCCTGACCCAAACCTGCAGACAGGGCCCCGGCCGACCTCGCTGTGGGTAGGCTGGCGAAGACATAGAACAGTTCTCATTAGCACGGGCAGGTGGTGAAATAAACGTACAGATGCTCGTGTGGCAGTATGTGAAGGTGATTATTACAGTGAATAAAAGGAAGTTAGATGGCTAATGAATGACCAACCTGTAACAGACTTCCTAATTCTTAAAGCATTAATAATACCTAATACTTAAATATTAATAGTACACAAAGTATGGACTTTTTACAAGCATTCAACCAGTCGTGGGCAACTAACTGGGACTTTGATACATTGCTGATGAAATGCCAATTGGTCTGATGACATTGGAAAGGTATTTGACAGTTTGGTATAAAGTACTCTTACTATATGACCAGAAATCCCACTGCTAGGTATTGGTATTTATTTATTTATTTATTTATTTTCATTTCACAAACATTTATTGAATACTAACTATGTACCAGGGCACAGTAACAGGAGTATATCAGTGAACAAAACTAACGAAAATCTTTGCCCTAATGCATAGGAAGGGGCACAGAGACACTAATAAATCACCAAATTATATCTATTTAGAGAATCTTGAGGGCTACAGAAAAAAAATAATAAACAGAGGAGGAAAAGATGATAAAGAATGAATGGGAAGTTTTCAAAAAGGTGAACAAGATATTGCTGAAACAGTGATGTGGGAGCAAAGTCCTAAATATATTCATGCAATCACACGTGCTCCCATTTGCTCACTCATCTGTTCACTCACTCATTCATTCTTCCATTGAGGTCTTCATTCGTTCAGTCACTAACTCAACCAGTCATTCATTACTCCCCCCATTTGCTCTTTATGTCATTCATTCATTTATGCCTTCATTCATTTTCTATCTACTCACTCACTTCTCATTCACTCATTCCTCTAGTCACTAACTTATTCACTCTTCATTCCCATTTTGCCTGCCCACTCATTCGTTCATGCATTCTTTTGTGAGCTCATCCACCCATCAGTGTCTCAGTCCTTTAGGTTTCCTTCCACAAACATGCCTCATGCCCTCTTTCTTCTGAGCCATTGCAGATTATTCTCATAGCTGGAAATGTTACTTCTGTTCATCTCCATTTACAGTGCTTGGCTTAGAATCACCTCCTCCAGGAAGAATCTTTGACTTGTAATCTAGGTTATGAGTTCCAACTTGAGGTTTCCACACTCCTTTTTTTTCTCTATTTCAACACGATTCCAGCAGTTTCTGGCACTCCCCCAAGGCCATGAGTTCCCTGAATTTGGGATCAATATCTTATCCCCACCCCTGGCATTGTACTTGGCACACAGTAGATATGCAGTAAACTCTGTAAAGTCAATCAATTGTCAGGAACAGTCTGGGGATGTGCTACAAGGAACGCCGCCGCCGCGCAGGGCCCGGGGGGCCCGCACAGGCCGGTATTGGTATTTATTCAAGAGTAATGAAAACATCTTCACACAAAGACCTTTTTAAAATTTAGTTTAATTTAAATTTATTTTGTATATTCAATCACATATGTCACTTAGCTTGTAAAGTGAATGTTCCAACATGAATACATGTCTCACCAGTCCCATTGGGGATACTATATACGTTATCATCAATAGATAATAACCCTTTCTTTGTCCTGTAAATGTCTTGCCTCTCTATTTTTGCCCTTAATGTCTTTCCTCAGACTCTCCTCCTCTAGGAATCATTCATAATAATCTAAAGTAGGATACTGTAGGGATATATTCTGAGAAAAAGCTTTGTGGATGTGGGGACATGTTCTGAGCAGACATCATATATCTCTTAGAAGCCATAGCCTCTTAGGCTAACAATTAACCTTTGATGTATGCAAGAGAGTGTACTCCCCATATCTGCAGAGAGGCTTCACTTCACTAGATGAGTAATTTACAGGAAATTTCTTTGCTTTTGCCATGACCAAGAGATACACATGGCACCAGCATATCTAAACTTTCAAGAATGGGAAGACCAATGTCACTTGCTTTCTGTCTCTGTAAAGCATCAACTCTACCTATGGAATGTCACAAAATGCACGTATGTAGTGTTCCTTTGCCCGATAAATAAATACGCTCAGCTTGTCTGGGCTCACAGTCTCTGCAAGCTTAGGCCGCCTGTGTCCACTGCTACTCTGCCTTGGTGTCTCTTTCCTTTTGCTTCTTCTTGGGTTGCTGAAAGACTCCGACAGATATAATAATTCAACTGTCTATTAACTGGTGAATAGGAAAACTATTGTGGTGTGTTCTTGTAATGGAATACTACACAGCAATCAAATGATAAAACTTGTGAAACAAATAACTCATGATGGACCTCAGAAACCTTATGCTCCATTAGGTAACTAAACACATATACTGTGGTCCGCATTGGAGTACTATGTAGTAAGAAGAATAGACTGTCGATACTCACAACTTAGACAAAACTCATGGGCATCATGCTGGATGAAAAAAATCAATCTCATAGGCTATGAAATGTATGATTTTACTTATATAATATTATCAAGATGGAAAAATTATAGAGACAGAGGAAAGATGAGTGGTGTGGGTATAATAGTGGAGACAGTACACTATAAGGCAAATATGCTTGCCCGAGAGACTGAGAGAGACAGAGGTGAGAAATTACCCTCCCAGGGGATGGTCTCACCACGATCTCCTCTTCTTAGTTCTCCTCTTAGGATTTTGAGCATGCATGCACACTCACCCAGTATGTTTAAAGCCACTGGGTCTGGAACTCAAACTGTGGTCGATCACATGGGAGTAGAGCACCTCACCCATTCCCCGACCTGTTGGCTCCCATAGGGAGTTTTTTAGGGTGATGGAATAGTTCTGAATCCTTACTGTAGCAGCAGTTACACAAACTATACATGAGACAAAATTTTATAGACTTACCTACCCACCCCCTCCAAAAAAGAATACACATGAAAATGGGCAATTCAGAGTAAGGTCTGTAGTTTAATGAATAATATTCTATAACATCAATTTATTGATTTTGATGATGGTTTTTGGCATTGGAAAAAGCCGGATGAAATGTGTAAGACTGAACTGTTTTCACAACTTCCATGCACATCTGAAATGATTTAAAAATCAAGCCCAGCTGCAGTGGCGTAGCCAGTGGCACCCCTGTGTGATACCGGAGGTATGCGGGAAGGCCTGGAGTTGGGACCCCAGGTGACCTGAGCATGGCAGTGCACCCCTGTCCTGCTGACTGGAAGGTCTCAGGGGAAGGGAGGAGGGTGGCAGGATGCTGAAACCACGCTGAGTGTACCTCTCTCTCTCTCTCACTTTCTCAAAAATGAACCTAAAGTATTTTAAAATAAAAAGGAAGCGTGTGAAACAATGAGGTTCTTAAAATTTGTTGGTTGGGATTCAAACTGGGCAATCACTTAATCGAACTCCAAGATGAAACATCCATCCACCATGATCCAACAATTCCACGTAGAGGGTAAATGCCTGGTGAATAGGAGAACAAATCGTGGTTTGTTCTTACAGTAGAGTACTGCACAGCCGTGAAATGGTATACGCCAGAGCAGGAACTACATGACGGATCACTTCCACTTACCAGTGGAAATGAACACACATACGCACAGAAAGACTTGTACAAGAATTCATAGCAGTTTTATTCATAGCAATAAGTTGAAGTAAATGTCCACAAACAAGAGATTAAATAGGTAAAGGGTGCTATATACATTTCATGGAATATTAATCCACTGTAAAATGGACTGACTGGTGCACATAACAACATAATTAAACCTCAATTCTATAGCGCCTAGCAAAACTGCCACACACAAAAGGGTACACATACTGCTTGATTCCATTTATATGCATTTCTAAAATAGAAAAAAATGACCAATTCCTATTCCTGACAGCTACATTAAAGAAGTTTAAATCTTTGTGGAGAAGGGAAGAGTATAAAGAAAGATAGCAAGAGAACAAATAGAGAGGCATGACATTAGTGGGACACAGAAATGGTTTATTACCTGTTGATGATGATGTGTATAGTATTCTCAACTGGATTGATTTGAAAAGTATTTCATGATGGGTAAACTCTTTTTACAAGCCAAATGATATATAGTGGTTGAATGTTTAAAAAATAATGAGAATAAATAATAATAATTTGAAAAATAAAATGATAAAAAGCTATTTGATGATGATGAAGTGGACAGTAATGTCTTTGTCTTGACTGATACACACAGTAATCACGCTGGAAAAAGAAATGTAATACACTGTAAAGATACATGTGATTCAATGTAATATAAAAATTATGATAATAATAAGTAAAATTAAATTTAAAAAGTTTAAAAAATAAAAACAAACTTAAATCTCCGAGGAAGGAAGCATGTATGAGAATGCTTCTGTTTAAAAATAATAAGTGTAATTAGTCAATAGTAGAGTGGAAAAATAGTAGCTTATTTGTATAATGAAAGTAGACAGCTATTACAAACTAATGGTTCTAAACATATTTTCTTAGAAATGTTTTCTTAAGGAACCAGCAGATGGCATAATGGCTACGTCGCTGGATTCCCACATAGTCAACCATATTTCAAGTCCCTGACCAGCGGCTTACACCTCATGTCTGGTGTGAGGGTGTGCAGAATGGAGGAGAAGGGATTGCAGCGCGGCTATCCCTTCTGGGAGGGACTTCTTTCTGTCTGTCTCTCTTTCTCTCTGTGTCTCTCCAGTGAGTGCAACCCACCTTATAGCAAAAATGTCTCTTAAAAAAACAAAAAACAAACAACTGAAAAAACAAAAACAGAGGCCAGCAGGTGATGTGGTGGTTGAGGCACTGGATTCCCAAATGGCTGACCGCGGTTCAAGTCCCAGACCTATGGCTTACTTTATCAGTTTTGATTTCCATTTCTGTCTCTCTCTGGTTAAATTTAATAATAATAATAATAACAGTCAATAAATGAATAAACCTTTAAAATAAATAATTCTTAAAAATAAAATGTTAAGTGTAAAAAATTGTCAGAATGATATATTCTACATAACATGATTAATAAGAAATCTCAAAATATAAATAGAATACTATATATTGTTTGGTGATACATTATAAGGGTAAAATTTATAAAAATAAATAGGCATGGAATCGTCTAATAGCTGTTACTATTAACATTGGAAAGATAAGAAGAAACAGAAGTTACTGTTTTAGCTTCATCTGTAATGTTTGAGAAAAAGACAGAAGGAAAATCTGCAGATAGCATAGCAAAATTAAATGCCTATTCTTTTTTTTTTTGGAGAGATTTTTGCTAAGGGACACATGCACTCTCCAGAGAGACAGAGAGACACAAAGCAAGAAATCACCCCTCCCACCCCAAGGCGGGGGATGGCCATGCCACAATCCCTTCTCCTCTATTCTCCTCTCAGGATTTTGGGCACACATGCACACGCACCTGGCATGAATTTTATGCTGCTGGGTCTGGGACTTGAACCACAGATTACTACATGGGTGTCCAGCGACTTAACCATTATGCCATCCATTGGTCCCTAATATCTGTTTATTCTTAGTGCTGAGTAAAAAGGTGTTTGCTATAAATTTTTCTGCAATTTTGTATGTGAGAATTATTTAATTAAAAATAATTTTAAAAAATGATTAAAAAATAATTTTAAGCAATCAAAGTTGTTACTTTGCCCACCAGTACATAGAATGGAGGATGCAAAACTTATTACTTTGCCAAGTATATTCCCAGTAGACCATTTATCGAGAAATAAGGAGAAAATAATTTTTTTAGAATTCAGGAGTTTGATATAAACTTTTTCACTAAGTAAATTTTCAGTATAAAAACAGAAAAAAAAGTTCATTCCTTTAATATCCAGAGAGGAAAATATTTTTATTTTGCATAGCATTTGTACTATTAACAGTTTTTAATATTTTCACTGGTGAAATAGCATTCTGTGAGAGGTTTTGTCTTCCTGGTAATGTTAAAAGGAATTACAGAATAACACCAAAAATATATGTGTACTCATGGCAACAACACAACTGAATATTCTAATTTAGAGGTCCCATGGATTCTCCCTTTCTAGAACTTACGTTATAAGTAACATGACTTTACTTCATTGGTACTCCAATACATGACTAAAGAGACTACAGAACTTGAAAGCTTATTTTGATTTCATTTTTCTGAGCAGATGCTTTGTTGTCATGAAGTTATTGGTTCCCATGCTTGGTGGGTGAGCAGAAAGGAAGGGAAGGGATGACTTCTGGTCTGTCTCCAATAGGGAAGCCAAGGACTGATGGGCATGTTCACCTTAGAATTGGGTGGAGGCAAGAGAATAGTCAAAACATCAATGAATATTTGCATTCACAGCCATGATCCATGATAAATGTGGTTCATGTATCCCTTAGATCTTATCACAGACTAATCTACTAAATTTGGAAATTTTAAATGCATAGTCTCTTTCCAATTCTATGATAAATGTCTTTCAATATTAAGCACCAAGTGTGTCCCTTACCAGTAGTAATCATTTGTCAAACTAGTGTTTAGGATGGGCAAAGTTTACCATTGTGTATGTTGTAACATGTTCAAACATGATCCAGCCAGAAGCCACAGTTCAGAGGCAGCTGCTATATGCTGCCGAGGTCCTGCGCCTGGACTGTCAGAGCACAGAGCAGGGCCCTTAGAAGAGGGAATCCCACCACACGCATCTCCCCAGGCTGCTGTGGGCACTCTTGGCCTCCATCTGCTCAGGCACAAATAATTGCAAACCAGGTCACTGGCTGCCTGTCAGTATTCAGAGGTAATACGAGACAGAGGAAATCATGCCCAAATAATTACTTTTTTTCCTTCCCCACTCATTCTTACAATATTTTGAGCTGTATCGATGAACAGGAATGATTTTAGAGGCCTTCTGTGTTGTTTCCTTTCTAGCCATATATTTGCCTTTGGGTCCCCTTGTTCTAAATAATTAAAACAATGAAACCAAATGGAAGATTGACGGCTATATTTTAAACAATCATGTAACAGCATCAAAAATTCAGTCACGGGGAACCAGAAGTTAGCGAAATGGCTATGTCGCTGGGCTCCCACGTAGTCGATGGCAGTTCATGTCCTGGATCCGGTGGCTTTAAACTCACGCCGGGTGCGTGTGCGTGCATGCCCAAGATCCCGAGAGGAGAGTGGAGGAGAAGGGATTGCGGCGCGGCCATCCCCCCCTGGGGGGTGATTTCTCGCTTTCTGTCTCGATGTCTCTCTCTGTCTGACTGGCAAGTGCACGCGCCCTATAGTGAAAACCTCTCCAAAAGAAAAAAAAAAAAAAAAAGAAAAAATTCAGTCACCGACCTCTTTGGTGTTGACTTGCCCTAAGTCCTTGGAGCCTATAGATATCACGTTCTGTAAGAGTGGGTTATAACATTGTGCCACAGAGAACTTGCACTATTAGCATGACTTTATTTTGCAAATTAAAAAATATAGCTAACCAAAGGATTTAAAAAGTGAAATTGAGTATTGTGGGTCAATGGAATAGAAAGTGTGATAACTGAACACTTCCAGGACACATGGTCTAATAAGTACATTTACTTGTCAAGGCAACCAAACAGAACATCCTGATCCCCTCTAGAATCTGGTAAATAAAACTCAAAGTCAGATTTTGAAAGAATCATATCATATTGTTAATTTCATAAAGTTTTTCATAAATTTTATTACATGAAATCTTAAATATGGCCGAGTGTTTGGCTCTAGTCTTCCAGGAAGGATCATTTTATTTTTTATAGTCACTTTTTACTTAAGTCCTGTGGTCATTACCTTGGAGGACTGTGTGCATGTGAGCGCTGGTACACATGCAAACCCCGGGAGAACTCACTGCATGTCACCCATGAGTGCCGACAAAGGGAGGAGTACCTGCCTGCAATTTACTACTACTTCTGGACTGAAAAGCTGGGGATGAAACTTAATTTTCTTCTTGTCTTCTTCTTTTTTTTTTTTTAACTTTGTCTAAATCAGAAAATATATCAGTGTGCCTTGTTTCCTTGTTGACTTAGCAGATGAAGTAAACTGATAGTGTTAATTCAGACTGAAGAACTTATCTGAATCTTGTTTTTTGTGCAGGTACAATGTATTAATATATGTAATATGAACTGAATTAGATGGCTACTACTGACTATATATATATATATA